GAAGCCGCCTCCCCCCCGACACCGACGGAGGGGAGGCAGGGACGGGGCTCAGCCCCGCGGCGTCCCCAGCCCGCTCCGATGGCACGAAGGGGAAGAGAAGAGCCGGCGCCGGCGCAAACCTCTGGCGCAGGAGGGAGGGAATCGCGTCTTCGCCCCCGCGGCAGCATCGGGGCCCCTCTCACCAACTCCGGGCTGTGGTTTCGCACCAGCGAAAGGGGTTTGGTCTGGGGGTTGGGGAGGGACGGGGCTCAGCCCCGCGGCGTCCCCAGCCCGCTCCGATGGCACGAAGGGGAAGAGAAGAGCCGGCGCCGGCGCAAACCTCTGGCGCAGGAGGGAGGGAATCGCGTCTTCGCCCCCGCGGCAGCATCGGGGCCCCTCTCACCAACTCCGGGCTGTGGTTTCGCACCAGCGAAAGGGGTTTGGTCTGGGGGTTGGGGTTTTTTTTGTGGCACCAGGCTGGGAATTGCTGAGTCGGCGCGCGCTGCCGGGCTCCGCCGTACTCCTTGGCCCCGACGTAGTTGAGGGACAGCAGGACCATGCTGTTCGCCAGGAGGGAAGCTTCGGAAGCTGAAACAAATAGAGGAGAGCGGGGTCAGGGCAGCGCTGCCACGGCCCAACCGCTCCAGATGTGCTCAGCCCGAGCTGCCGGTGCAGCACCAGCGGCCGCGGGGGCTCCCCCTCGCCCCCGGCCCTTCTCTCCGCGGGCTTTTTGCTCTGCTCTGGGTCCCCCGTTTCCCTCCCGCTCCCGTTTTGCTTCCCCCGGTGCTGCTGCGGGGCTCAAATCTGCCCCGCGGAGACCTCGTGGTGACGGGGACACCCGGGCACAGGCTGGGTATTCCACACGGACACATCTCCGGAGAGAGCCAGCGCGCTCCGCCGTGTCCTTCTCTCAGGGACGAGGCCCCGGGGGATCAACGGGGGCAGCCCAGAGGGGAATAAAGCCACCGTTTACCCCAAATTTCCCAGGGAGCCGACGTTCCCTGTGCCCAGAGGAACTCGAGAGGCTGCCAGGTCCCCCCCCGGCAGGCAGAGGAGCCGCCCCTCGGCCGCCGTTACCTTGCAGCTTGCAGGAGAGCCCCAGCCACTGCTCCAGCCACGCTCTGCACTCGGACATGCCGAGACGAGTGGGGTTCAGGCCACGGAGGTAACAAGCCTGCGGAGCAGGGGAGGGGGAAAAAACACGGGACGCATTCAGGGACGGGCACTCCGTGTCACACGAACGCTGGGGATGGTGCCGTGATCCTTCCTCGGCGTGAAGCAGGGCTGAGCAAGGTAAACCGTGCCCCGCGGCATCCCGGCGCGGTCCCGGCACGGGAAACGGGCTCGGAAAACGCCTTCCCGGAGGAGAGTGGCCGCAATCCGCCCCACAGTGGAGTCTGGAGGAACGTGCCGTGCCCCGCCGCAGCTCTGCCAACGACGGGGAGGGCTGGGACGACACAACCGCGGGGTAAAGCAGCCGGCGCGGGGCTGGAGGGAGGCGTCCTCACCCACCGCTTTCAGCTCCTCCTCGGACAGCTGGCCCAAGCCCAGGCGCAGCATGGCGCGGTCCAGGTGCCGGATCTCCAAGACGTGGCTCCGCAGGCGACGCCTCAGGAAAAAGGCCGGCAAGTGGGGGGTCAGAAACAGGACCTGGCTTAGGGCTTTCTGAGAGGGAAAACAAGGGCAGGGTCACCGGCGAGGGCGTCCGACGCCTCCAAAATGGGTGTCCAACCCATTACAGGCACAACTTAAATCAGACAAAGCCGCTCCCCTCCCAGACACGCCCCGTATTTTGTTCTCCTTTAATTATCTGGTGCAATGTCCTGCCCACGCCGAAACCCTGAGCAGCCCCCGGCAGTCCTCCTTACACCCAGCTCGGCCGCCTGGCCCAGCGAGCGGAGCGGGGAGCAGGCGTCCAGAAACACGAGCTCTGTCCTGGGCTGGACGCGGGTGGCCGGGGCGAGTTCAGGTGTGCAGGACGGCTCAGATCTGGCCGATGGTCCCACCGAGGCAGGGACCTACAGCAAGGACGGACAAACAGTCTCGTTCTGGGGCTGTTTTCATGGAATCACAGAACGGTTTGGGTTGGAAGGGACCTCTAAAGCTCATCTAGTCCAACCCCCCTGCCCTGGGCAGGGACAGCTTCAACTAGATCAGGTTGCTCCGAGCCCTGTCCAGCCTGACCTGGAATGTTTCCAG